ACGAGGTGCTAATACTTTATACATCAATTTCTGCTTATTGAAGCAGATACCCAATGGCGTCCACAGGGTTAACTTATAGACACCGTTGCATGCAATTGTAAAACTGATGGGTTTAAACGGAATAGAAATGTTGTACGGATAAAGTTTCTGCTGTCATGGATACATACCTGAGTCAGGGTCCATCTGGAAGTAGTGGAGTGTCCCGTCGCCAAGGGCAACCAGGAGGTATGTCCGGGTGTCAAATTCAGCGACCAGAATGGATCGAGGAAGAATATCTAACAGAAGAAAAAAAACAAAAACAAAAAAGTAAAACGTGCAAATTTGAGGAAATAAATTGTTGCAAAGCAGTCAAAAATACGTATTATTGGAGAAACATCTTACTACCACTATATTATCAAAGGAAAACTTACAATTCGATAGCTAAGAATTTCAATAAATGTTGACAGATACGAGCACACAAACTGTGCCGATGCCATGGCAACAGGCTCCACCCACCTCCTCCGAGCGGCTGTGTGTGAAGTGTATCCAAAGAGGGAAGCCGCAGAACTCTTGCCGATATGTTCGTCCAGAGACCAACGGCACAGATGTTACTGGTGCCCGAGTCACCCTTTAGAACCCTCACATCCACACACGCTATCTCGTGCTCCAATGTCACATGACTGGAGGGAGTTTTGCAATTAAACAGATCAAAACATGTATTAATTAAACATAAAGGGAATGTGGCAGTATATGTTCCAATGTCACATGACTGGAGGGAGTATTTAGATCAAATTGTGCCATTTTATAAATTTTGCTCTTATTTATTTACAGCAACATTCCCATTTAAGGTGTTGTAATTTTTGTGTGCTGAAGAAATAAAATTCATTGTCTGTAAACCTGAGTTGGTGGAGTGAAGAATCCTGAATATCTAGACAGAATAGTTCGTTGCCCACAACAACTACCACATGTGACCCTCCACATGATCCCGTGCTGATACCTTTACCTATGAGCGAGTGGATAGGGGGATAAGGTGGGATAGATGGGGATATGGGGATAGGGGGATAAGGTGGGATAGATGGGGATAGGGGGATAGGGGGATAGGGGGATAGCGGGTGGGAAATCAAGGAGAAACGTAGATTAGGCTAGGTTCACAATATGTTGCATTGCCATGCCGAGAGGATAGACTACATTTCTATCTTGCGGCAGGACGTGACGTGGCACGGTGCGATGGGCCGACATATTGTGAACCTAGCTTTAGACATAAAAGACAGAGGAAAAACAAGGAAGCAATAAGTGAAAAATAGAAGAGAGAAATAGTGTACAGTCAACTAACCAGAGGGAGGAGCCCATTTGCTATAGTGACAGAGGAATAAAAATCAACACATGAAACTATAGTTCATAGCATACCAGCCATAGATAGATATATAGATATATAGATAGATAAAAACCACCACCTACATAAAATGGGGTTTACAGCATAAACACATTCATAAACTTTTAGAGAAGTGAAGAGTTATGAAAGGCATCTGTGTTCTAGCTGTCAACAATTTCGCATTTTTTGTAGGTACACCGATTGTAGAAAAGAAAAGTTAACCATGCTTAATAGTTTGACTATCATTGGAGTATGGAATAGTAATGTACTCTGTCTTCCTGCAACTATTCCTATTTAGCTCTTCCAATCTCTCTTTCACTGTCCCACCCCCAACCTCCAATAACAGTGCGAACGATTTCGCAATTTCCCTAGGCACATCAGTGGAAAAAGAGACATGACTGCCATTTGTCTTCCTAACTAGCTTCACCCAGCCATCTGCTGTCCAATCCACCCCACATCGAGGGTGTCAACCTTCACAGTACAATGGAGTGATACAAAAGTACTACATCTCACCTGACAAGCTGCAGAGTCTCTTCATTGATCAGTCTGACACTCTGCCCTGTGATCTGGAGGTACATACACGTCAGATGCAAGGCTAAATATGAGAAATTTTACTCAAAACGGAACTCGAAATTGCATTACTTCACTGTGTCCCTACTGATACTGCCACATTCCCTTTCTAGTGAGCCATGCAGGCAAGACACCAAGCTGTTTTCATTTTAGAATTTGCAGGATATTTACTTGTCTCCTCTATTTATTTACTACGTATTATCTCGGTTTGACGAAAATTTATAGGAATGTCTTTCGAGCCGGCAAAAAATTACGTAGCATGTTACTTTAACTTTACAATAAGTAGGGAGAAGTTGATACGGAAAATCCCTACTGCTTAAATTTGGCCCTTATTGCCGAGCGCATTAGTATGAGGCAACTACTCCGGGCTGTATTCTCGCGATATGCGTACGTACGTACGTCGTCAATTAGTCACGCTTAGGAATGTCAATTAGTCACCAAAACGATGTATAACTTCCGTCATTTGTAGGAAATCTAGCTTCCGCCGTGCGCGCAGATTCGTAGGAAGTCTGGCTTCGCGCGCAGTCAGTAGAGCGCGCGCACGAGCGGCCTCAGTTTACGCATTGGCTGGCAGGCGCGAGGCAAAATATGCACGTGCGCATTCCTAGTAATAATTATACCTACCACATTCCCTTTCTAGTGAGCCATGCAGGGAAGACACCAAGCTGTTTTCCTGCAGACGCTTACTGCGTAGTTGAGCTCTTATCTGTACCTGTAGGATCTTGTTGCCAATGACGTTGGAGCAGTAGTGAGTTTGTTGATCAGCAGCAATTCCTTCGAGTTCCGTCTCCTCTACCTCCTCCCCCTTCAGACTCAGTACACTGGAGGTACATAGGAAGGGATGGAAGAAATGGAGGGAGAGAAGAGAAAGGGAAAACGTATGGCAATACAACTCCTTGGATCTGAAGGATCTGTTAAAGGGAGGGAGGAAGAAAGAAAGACATAAGAGAGAGGAAGAGAGAGGAAGGATGGGAAGAAAGGAAGAAGAAAGAGAGAGGGAGAGAGGGGGGAGAGGAATGAGCCAGAGAAAGGCAAGAGGGTGTACAATACATATGTATATTGGAGGAAAAGAGGAAGCGAGAGGGAGAGATAGAGGTAATGTCAATTCCCACGTGGTCTGTCCGACGAAGGCGAGGACCAGAGTATTATCAGACTCAGCCATCTCGGTTCCACAGCGAAGAGACCACACCCCTTTCACCCCGGCCAGGTCGATGGAGGCCTGTTCGTTGATCCCCACGCCACTCCTAACCAGCCTGAGAGATCCGTTCCTTCCAAACCCTGAACAAGTCACCACCTACGTAAATACACACATACCTACACATAACAATTGACATTCCCCCCATCGTTAATTTTCATCCAGTGCTCCATCCGCAGCGTGAAATTTAACGAGGGTGCTAATACAAGCCACACCCACTTTTGCACTTTATTACGACGTTAAAAAATTCATTGAAAATTCTCTATATATATAATGTGCATTGTGGTGACAAAAATTTAACATGTATCTCGATTTCGTTAGTGCCCACATGTCAGTAGACTATCATCTTCTCTCTCTTTCCCTTCTATAGATATCCTCATATATAGCACCCCGCAGTCCCGCTCTAGGGAGGCACTGTTCATCACCCCTTATTCTACAACATTGGTCCTTGTTCTACTTGGCACGATTTTCACGCTTCGAATCTGTCATGTTAAGACACTGTGCTCAGCTACAGAACCTTTACTTGTCAGAACGTTTTTTGTCTTTTAAACGCGTATATAATTCAACTTGGCACAATCTTTTCAGCTTATATGTGATTCAAGGGGGCAAAGGAATTTGGGAGGGGGATTTTGCCTCTGAAAGTTAAAATCTTTCAGCTCATACATGTACAGTGATCAAGGGGGCAAAAGGATTTAGAGGGGGGATTTCCCTCTGAAGTTAAAATCTTTCAGCTTCATAATGACAGTGTCAGTAAAGGAATTTAGGAGGGATTTCCTCTGAAAGCTAAATCTTTCAGCTTCATACTGTACAGTGTCAAGCAAAGGATTGTGATTTCCCTCTGAAAGTTAAAATCTTTTAGCTTCATACATGTACAGTGATCAAGGGGGCAAAGGAATTTAGGAGGGGGATTTCCCTCTGAAAGTTAAAATCTTTCAGCTTCATATGTGATCAAGGGGGCAAAGGAATTTAGGAGGGGGATTTCCCTCTGAAAGTTAAAATCTTTCAGCTTCATATGTGATCAAGGGGGCAAAGGAATTTAGGAGGGGGAGGGGGATCTGAAAGTTAAAATGAACACATTGCATGGCCAGCCGCATTTCATAGCGTGTTTGTGGAGCTAGTGTGTCCACATACCACGTCACGTCCTTGCTGGTCCACGTCTACGACACTCATGTCCAGAATGGGAGCCAGACAGGTGAACGTCTCCAGGATCTCCACGTAACCCCCGCTCTCATCTGCCGCCGAAGACAGCTGCAGCCAATGGTGAAGATGGAGGAATAGTACAATGCAGGGTAAAGACACCAGGCAATGGGACGGAAGAAAGTGTCAATAATATAAGTATATAAAATGTCCTTATTTCAGGGGTTAAATTGTAATAATGAAGTGCAGTTTCTTACTGCAAAAATTGAAAATAGGGTGGCCTAAACTTTTCGTACTTTTAGCAAGCAAGTGGAGGGAAGGACAGGCCAACCAACCATCCTGAATACCTCGACTATAGCTGAAGAGTGCAGTGCAATCCAGAAAATAGGGTGGCCTAAACTTTTCGTACTTTTAGCAAGCAAGTGGAGGGAAGGACAGGCCAACCAACCATCCTGAATACCTCGACTATAGCTGAAGAGTGCAGTGCAATCCAGAAAATAGGGCGGCCTAAACTTAGTGGGGGGAAGGATAGGCCAACCAAACCATCCTGAATACCTTGACTATAGCTGGAGTGTTGCAGTGAAGAATAGGGTGGCCTAAACTTTTCGTACTTTTAGCAAGCAAGTGGAGAGAAGGACAGGCCAACCAACCATCCTGAATACCCTTGGAGTGTGCAGTGCAAATAATCCTCAGGAGTGACTGTGGAAAATAGGGTGGCCTAAACTTTTCGTACTTTTAGCAAGCAGGTGGGGGGAAGGATAGGCCAACCAACCATCCTGAATACCTCGACTATAGCTGAAGAGTGTAGTGTAATCCAGAAAATAGGGCGGCCTAAACCTTTCGTACTTTTAGCAAGCAATCGGAGGGGAGGACAGGCCAACCAAACCATCCTGAATACCTCGACTATAGCTGAAGTGTGCAGTGTAATCCAGAAAATAGGGTGGCCTAAACTTTTACGATCATCAAAATTCTGGGAGTAGGTAAATACTGACGTTGTACAGTACATGAAGGTATTAGACAATGTGATGCCAAGAGAAAAAAGATGGGGAGCTCTGGACAGCTGTTTCTGGCTTGTTGGCAGCAGAGTATACCCAACTTCTCTCTCTGGCATCATGAGTTTATAAAGGCTGCCGTGAGCGCAGCACTCGTGGTTCTGAACTATGAGATGCACATTACTTTACACAAATCTATACAGTACAGTTATATATGTACATATGTATTTACCTTGCAGAGTTGTGAGTCTCCAAGACATGATCCGACAAACGTCACTCCGTTGTCAAGGTAGGCAATACACGATGGAGACACCGTCTACATAGAGAACATATATAACAGTACATGTACAGTACATGTATGTACAATACACGAAGTACACTCGATACAGATTGTGCTGTGTATCATTATAAAACGAATGCCACACATGTTTGGTGAGTGAGAGAGAGCAGTTCAATTTTTCGAGCTTATTTAGAATGACGTTCAATTTTTGGAGTGTAGAGTTTGTATGTACAGTAGTAAGAATATGGCTATGTTACGTGTATAATTATACACATTCAGAGGACTAGGTAGGTACGCTTCACTCGCCAATACAGTTGAGTCACATGACACTATACAGTAAGTCACATGACACCATACAGTAAGTCACATGACACTAATACAGTAAGTCACATGACGCCATACAGTAAGTCACGTGACACCGTACAGTAAGTCACATGACACTATACAGTAAGTCACATGACACCATACAGTAAGTCACATGACACCATACAGTAAGTCACGTGACACCGTACAGTAAGTCACATGACACTATACAGTAAGTCACATGACACTATACAGTAAGTCACATGACGCCATACAGTAAGTCACGTGACACAGTAAGTCACGTGACACAGTACAGTAAGTCACATGACACTATACAGTAAGTCACATGACACCATACAGTAAGTCACGTGACACAGTACAGTAAGTCACATGACACTATACAGTAAGTCACATGACACCATACAGTAAGTCACATGACACTATACAGTAAGTCACATGACACTATACAGTAAGTCACATGACACTATACAATAAGTCACATGACACAGTGGTACTAACCTCTCCAAGAACTTCCAGTTTCATGGTAATGTTGGTCTGCTCTGTGTCAATGGACTGGTGACAAAATTTAACATTTTTCACTAATTAATTATTAAAGATCATAATAAAACACAGACATTTGCAAATTTCTAAGTCAGCACACATCCACTACAACCCACGGTTGAAAAGGCATCATTTATGTAATACTTCTGTTTTGAGAAACGGTTTCTAAAGTTAGCCATTAAAATGTAGTTTAGCCCTTAACCCTTAGCAAGCCACGGGCTGTATGCCCAGAGCCTCCATAAGTCCATAAGAATTTATATATTATATATGGCTATAATACTAGGTGTTAATATGGTATTTCAGCTTATTTCAAGGAGATACCCATGGTGTCCAAAGGGTTAAATTTCCATTCAACAATATAGTACCTGTTCAGTCTCAATAAAGAGCATGAGTAGCCGGCCATTGGCATCTCCAAGGAGATAGCGGGACGAGTCAACAGCTCCCACACATGATATGACACACTCCTAAATAGTGAAAAATATTTGGAGGTAAAACTCGAATTTCGCAATTTTCCACGAATGTCCCCTTGATAAATTTTTACAGTAAAGTGAAAGGCGAAGGGCGTGTATCGACTCCCGCATGCTATCTACTACTGTAGCTAGCCAGTGTCAGACTCTCCGCGAGCTAGCTACTTACTAGCAGGAGAAATGCATACTGATAACCCAGTCCATTAGTGATACCGCGCATGCGCAGTTCGCTGAGGGTTTGCACTTTAGTGCTTTTCATTACCCAATTTGTCATACCATGAGCATATACCTGTACCTACGTAATTATGTATATACATACATTAAGAATAGGGACGACAGCATGAAGGACTGTCCCATACACTACTGTAACTTACTTGTATGAACAGTTAGTCTTATAGTACATATACCTACATAATTATGTACATACTTTAAGAATGGGGAAGTCGACGGAATGATGGACTGTCCCATACACAGCCAGTGTCTCGCTGCCAACCACCAGCACGCCTCCCGATGACAGAGGATGGAGGAGAGATGCCTGGGATTCAATGGCCGACGGTTTGAACGGTTTGATGAGTTCCTTGTCTTGCACAGAGACTATTGCCAGTTTGAGGTAGCGACCGGTGGAGTCCTGAAGAGGGAGGGAGGGAGGGAGGGAGGGAGAGGAGGGAGAGAGAGAGAGGGAGGGAGGGAGAGAGAGAGACATCAAAGTTATGCAATTCCACAATTCCTGAAAATGTCTTTGGTTGCAAGCCAATAATTGGTACAGCATGTGAACATCACATAATATGCGTACATTTTACTTTGGCTTGAAATTGGCTTTTCAGTTTTTGGTTGCAAATGGATAGCAGCTGTCGGTTCCAGCGCTTAACACTTAACCAGCCATAGACACATACACATTTAATGTGTCCAGAGCCTCCATAAGTCCATAATAATTATTTATACGGGGTCATATGTAATACGAGACGCTAATACTTTATAGGTAACATACTGGTTATTTAAGAAGATCCCCAAAGGTGTGCAAAGGCCCTTACATTACTCACGTACAACTGGATGTATGTATGTATGTATGTATGTACGTATGTATGTATGTATGTATGTATGTATGTATGTATGTAGTTGTGTTGTTGTTGTGTTGTTGTTGTGTTGTGGGTGTTGTATGTTGTATTTATGTATGTATGTGTAGTATGTATGTGTTGTATGTTATGTATGTATGTATGTATTATTGTTGTGTATGTTGTATTATGTATGTGTATGTATACCTCGTAATGAGAGCCACTGTCTTGTTGTTCTCTGTGTTCTTAAGAAAACACATGTCAACTGGCATCAGATCATCCAATCTGTACAGGTCAGGTATAATATGTAGGTAGTATAAGAAGCCCACAACATTCCTATAAATGGATTAAACCCTTTCCCAAAATCTACATGTTGGTAGCAGTACAGCTATAGGACCTTATGTTGAAAGCGGTGAGTGGTTCAGTGGATGTCCAATCCAGTGGTACATCTTCACCATTCCATCAGTAGTGTGGAGGGCGATCATTATTTAAACCCCTTTCCAACTACATTGTATTTAGATTTACTGCTATATACTTATTTTGAAGCGGTGAGTGGTTCAGTGGAGTCCAACTCCAGTGGTACATCTTACATTCCACAGTGTGTGGAGTGCGATCATTATTTAACCCCTTTTCCACTACATGTGTAGATTGTGTACAGCTTATACTTATGTTTAAAGCGGTGAGTGGTTCAGTGGGTCCAACTCCAGTGTTACAATCTTCATCTTCCACAGTTAGATGTGGGAGGGCGATCATTATTAACCCCTTTCCGCACTACATTGTATGTAGCATGTACAGCTATAGGACCTTATGTTTGAAAGCGGTGAGGGTTCAGTGGAGTCAAACCCAGTGGGTGCAATCTTCACATTCCACAGTAGATGTGGAGGACGATCATTTTTAACCCCTTTCCACTACATAGCATGTACATCTTATTGACCTTATGTTGAAGCGGTTGTTGAGTGGTTCAGGGAGTCCACCCAGTGGGTTACAATCTTCACCATTTTCCAAGTAGATGTGTGGAGGGCGATCATTATTTACCCCTTCCCACTACACGTATGTAGTGTGGCTATGACTTATGTTGAAGCGGTGATGGTGGTTCAGTGGAGTCCAAACTTGCAGTGGTTACATCTTCACATACCACAGTAGATGGGAGGGCGATCCGTATTTAACTCCTTTCCCACTACACTGTAAGGGGAGGCTGGTTATTTGTTACAAGCAGGTTATAACATTATGTGAAAGAGGGGGCTGTTTTCGTGGTAGGTGGTTAGGGAGTCCAACTCCAGTGGTACAATCTCACCATTCCCACAGTAGACGTTAGATGTGTGAGGGGCGGATTCATTATTTAACCCCTTCCCACTAACATCGTATGTAGCTATAGACCCTTATGTTGATGAAAGCGGTGAGTGGTTCAGTGGAGCACTACAGGTGGTACAAATTTTCACCATTCCACAGTTAGATGTGGAGGGCGTATCAGTATTTAACCCCAATTCCCACTACAATGTATGAGCATGTACAGCTATATAGACCTTATGTTGAAAAAAGCGGGTGAGTGGTTCAGTGGAGTCCCAACTCCAGTGGGTACAATCTCTCACCATTACCAGGTAGATGTGGAGGACAGTCATATTTAACCCCTTTCCCACTAAACTGTATGTAGCATGTACAGCTATAGACCTATTCCTTGGAAAGCGGTGAATGGTTCAGTGGGTCAACTGTCCAGTGGGTACCATCTTACCATAACACAGTAAATGTGGAGGCGATCAGATTAACCCCTTTCCCCACTACATCGTAGTGTAGCTATAGGACCTTATGTTGAAAGCACGAGAGTGGTGTGATTGGTTCAGTGGAGTCCAACCCAGTGGTACCAATCTTACCATACCACACGTAGAGGTGGAGGGACGATGATAGAGCCGTCTGGATCACTATTTACGAGTCGAGGACCCCACGTAGTTTGGATCGACCCCACCCTATCCTAGTGGGGGAAAAGGGGGTTAATGTCACGTGGTTGAGAAACGTATATAAAAGGGGCTCATGTACTAAACATAAGGTCAGGGATGATCATGTGAGGGGGAAAGGGTTAATATGGCAAGAGAAATGATCCGGGGAGGGGAAAGCGGTTAACGGTATACTTTGTTAAAAAGATCCCGGGAGGGGGGAGGGAAAGGTTAAGGTAAAGGATCCTGGGGAGGAAAGGGTTAATACTTATAATAGAGTGGGAAAGGAGACATCACGAGGAAGCTCGATTGGGAGGGAAAGTTCGTACAATTTTAAAATGATGATAATTACAGCTATTGTTACGTATGCATGGCATGTATGTACAATGATACTACGTTATTTATACAAAATTTGGGAAAATATGATACATAATCAAAATTATAAAGTAGGCAGCATCACTTGCCAATATCAATGGCTCAAATTTTTTATTTCCCCCTTCCCTTTATCCCTATCCCTTAACCTCTATTCCACGCTGCAGATGTGCAAGGGTATACATACCTTCATGTCGCACATAGGATCTAGTAACAATGTCCCTGTGATTCAGCACCAGACAGTTCAGTTCACGAATAATGGGAATACCACGGCACAGATGAAGCCTTCCAGCCATCTCCTTGCACGAACCAGTGTGATTCTCCAAGAAGTACTACACGGTGCGCCGAGCCAAGGTAAGACAGTCTACTGCGACAAAACAGCAGGTCCTGACTTTCTCCCTAACGAAGTAGG